TACTATTTTAAAACATTCTAACTAACACACTGGTCATCTTCCAATCTTATTCAGCTTTGATGTTGAGATGTATATTAGTAAGTCGCATATGTTTACAAAGTTGACAATAAAATATACTATCTTATGAACTTGGTAAGTGAAGGTTAAAAATCTTCAGTGTTTACTTTGAACCCACCTTCAATTTGATTGACAATTAGTAAGCGACAGGCAACGTTCTCATATGGCACGTATCTATGAAATGTTTTTACTTTCAGTTTATATGAGTTTCTTTATCAAGAAGTTATAGTAATTAAAGTTTATAAGTGTTTTTCTTTGTGTTAGCAGTCTTATCAAGTAAATTTAGCAATGTAATTTAAAATATTTAATATAAGATAAATTCACTTTGATTGTACAATCATTATAGGCACTTACAGGTGATATTGAGTGTGCTCGCAGACATTTGATTGCTTATCATGAAATATGGAGAAAATATGGATTTCTTCCGGAGTTCTATAGTTTATCTGACGAAAAGGCTTACAAGGGTCGTGAGGCATACCCATTACGACCAGGTAAAAAAATATTGTTCAGTTTAGAAGTCGTTTTTTTATTTTCACTACTGATGTAACAATTCGTAGGATCTAAAACAAATGTGTCAAAAACAAACCCTACATACTAATAAAAGGCTATCCAAATAAAATAGTTTTAAATTAGCTTAGGTATAAGCTGTTAAAGTTGGTGACACTACCCAGTTGCTTAAAGTGAAGCGGAGTTTGAACCTGAGACTTAATGGTTAAAGTGTTCGTTCTTCGTCAGTCTTTTCTGAGTTATGCTCTTCCTTCATTCTTGAAATATTTTTCTTGTGAAAATGTTAAAATAATAGATGGATTTATTCTTTTCAATAGAATTAATTGAATCCATTCTCTACGTATATCGTGCGACACGTGATCCTGCTCTGATTGATATGGGCGTGGACATTTTGACTTCAATTGAAGTCTCAGCGCGTACACCTTGTGGTTTTGCGACGGTAAATATTTTCGTGTTTATTTATTGTTATATTCATTTACGGTAAAAAAGCAATCAGCTTATTGTTGTTTTTATAAGCATTAGTAGTTTGTTGAAGATGTTCTAGTTTTCTAGTATAATTTAATATCATTAACTCAGTGAATCATCACTGCCTTTTACAGTGAAAAAAAATGAATTTCAAATATCTTCACTGAGGATATTCATCCTGTAATTCACTGAGTCTAGAATTCATATTGATGTGATAACTAACACTTCAGTGATATATAATCTTCCAGTTTTTAAGAAAGTCTATACGATTGTCTTGTGATAACACTTCTATTTCACAGATCCTCCAGTCTCAGGGTTTAGATTTTCCGATTATTGACTTAAACCTCTCAACTAAAAAAATTTGACTGCAAACTTTGGCGTTTGTAAACAATTATGTACTCATTTATGAAATTGGTCATCAACTACCATGGGATGGATTCTAACGTTCGACTGCTTTATAGATTAAACTTCTAGGTTAAATGGCTCATGGAGAAACCCCTTAAAAAGCAATTTACTTTTATTTTGGCCCTTGTGTATTATGCTAGCCCTCACATTAATACACAACTCTTTTATTATGCTTAAATTGCTTATGTAAACAAGAATATTTATACAGTATCCGTTCTTCTAGGTTTCAGATGTTACAAAACATACTTTGGAAGACAGAATGGAGTCGTTTTTTCTAGCGGAAACAACAAAATATTTATACCTATTATTTGATGAAAACAACTTTATACATCAGTTACCAGGTGAAAAAACGTCGTTAGAAGGTTCTCGTTTACCGTCAGGACTTCAATGTTATCCAGAATCAGGTGGTTACATTTTCAATACAGAAGCTCATCCCATTGATCCTGGTGCTTTGAATTGTTGTTTTGCGCCTCAATTAGATGAAGTTGAACAAGCATCCAAAGTTGAAACATTGTTCTCTGATTCTAATCATTTTAAAATGCTAAATAATCATGAATTTGAGAGTGATACTAATACACATGATCAAGTTACAGAAATTGATTTACTTTCTACCATTGATTCAGTTTTCGGTGAACATGTTCACTCTCAACTTGGTTATTCATTAAGTGATTCCTTCGCTCGGATAATAAATCAATCATCATCTAATTGTTTTAATAATGCATATTTTGATTCTAATTTAATTGTTTCCTGGATAGAACTTCGTGAAATTATCAAATCCTCAGCTTTAGAGACTGAAAAAGAAAATGATAAATTCAGTTTTTTGGATTCAACTAAACCTCCACTACTCACTTGCCCATATCCATCATTTCAAAACCGATTTGCTTTATCCGGATTATTAACATCAACATAATTTCATTTCTGCTTTCTTTTTAAGTTTTCAAGTTTGGTGGTTTTCGTGTAGATATTTTCTGTATAGTTAGCTTTCTCCGTAGTGCACTTTATTTGAAATTCCTATCATTTCATAATTCCTGTGATATACATTCAGAAAAATATACTATCTACACCGCTGATATTCAGAACATTTGCTCAAAATCTTTATGGATTATAACTAATTAATAACATATCAGTAAATTCTGTCATTGTCAACTAGCGTTATTTATTTTTTCCATGTTGTCAGCCCTGTCGTTCAAGTTACTCATTCCCTTCGTTTGACCTGCAGATATATTCTCTTTAAGAGCTTAATGTGTGATAACTTCCTCTGTGAAACATGTCATTAGATGCTGCTCTACTTTTGTTAGCGGGACAATGATTGAAGTAAAGCATATCCTTGATATTTGAAAAGAAAATTCCGTTCCTGTCCAACCGTGTTCTGATTTGGGAACTTGTCGAGTGAATTGTTGTCTAAGAATACTAAGCAATAGGAATAGCTGGGTCGTAATAAGAGAAATCATAACAACTTTGGTATACAGTGGCAAGAAACAAATGCCTAGATTGAACGTAGCGAACCACATATATCTTCAAATTAGATATTCTTCCATCATTTAGCCTGTAAGATAATATGATTTAGACCTCAGTAAACATAATTTCCTTTTTCGACCACTCAATAGATGAATAATCATTTGTGAGGTAGGTTAAGCTCTCGATGTACCAAAGGTTCATGTGCAAACTAATCGGTACTTTTAAACCTTGTCACTGTCATAGTTTCATTATTAAGTTAGTTTTCCTTGACTTGACCTCCAGGTATCATCTTGATGTTCCTACTTTTGCAAATTCTCACAAATTGTATCTACTTGAAAAGATAATCTATTCGGTGCACAGAGAATCATGTTTCTGTTCGTGTATACAATTCAGCTATCAATGAAAACCTATTTTCAGTTCACTTTCAAAACTACCACTATTAAATAAATAACGGCATCGATATTGTAGCCAGTATGTGATCAGTATCGTGTGGTTTATCGCCCACTTACAGTGAAAATAACTCAATGTCACTAAGAAAATTTATTTAATGTGATATACGCATAGTTCTTGTGTTATGATTCAGTGTTAACCAAAAGTGGATTTACATGTTATTAAATGGACAGTTAAGGAATGAAAATGGCGAAATGGAAATCAATGTCTAACATATATCCAACAAGATACTATATTTACATGATCCATTTCACTACGTAAAATACCTGAAATCGCTCAACTGAACTGAGGACACGTACCGACTGTGTGTATTGTAATTAATCTAATTGAATTGTTAATATTAGCATTTCAACCATGGGAATGAGTCATAGTAATTCATCAATAGTGATAGAAACATTGAAGTCAAATATAGCTTTAATGAACTAGTATTAACCAGCTTATTTTGTATATCCGGTGAGGCATCCTCGTTATGCCCATGAATGCTCTGCTACGGCCGAGAGTGGGGGGAGTCCGCTCTACCTCTCGAAATGCTCTCACATGGCCACGCGTATATAGCCTCTGCCAGGAAAGTCCTACCCACTGCCTTCTCGTAGTGGGGGTGTTGTTTGCGAAATTGAGAGGACGAAAAGCGAATGTTCGGCGCTTTAACCAGGTTGGTGGACATGGAGAGTTCATATCTAGGGGAGTTGGAAAATTCTTATTTCGAACCAATGGCGCACATGGGCTCCAGTATCCTGAAGGAACAAATGGCGTATGAACCAATCGTTGGTCACCGGCTACTATGGGAATCCATCTCCTTACGTTGCTCCACTGCCTTGTGGATCAGACCTTCAGGTCGAAGGCTGCGGGTTTGGCCCCCTAAGAAAACCACCTGCTTCGGTTTGGGCACCCGGGCAGTATCACAACCCTTACACATATCAAATGAGATCTATGTGGCGCATATGTATTTGGTGCCTCCTTGTACCAATATCTGTGTTAAAATAAATAATAAAATAATTTTTTATATGTAATTTATTTATCGACAAATGCAGATCAACTATCTAAATCGACATACATCTTGATATATTGTTTCGTTACAAACAAAGGCTAAGCGACAGTGAGTCTGAAAAAAAACAGGCTACTGTAATTCACTGTTGACAATTTTTCAACCAGATAAACATATAGATATTAATTCACTCATCTTAGTTTTGATTTGTTAGTAAGTTCTCAATGGAAACATATATCATTTCTTGATAAGTAGAACAGATTATCAACATACAAAAAAATCAGTCCCTTACCACTTCGAATCTATGACAGAATAGTAAATTCCTTACTAATTTACATTTAATCAACATTCCTAATAACAATGGACAACATTAAAATACCAAAGATGTTTAACCATCAGTGTTGAAATAGGATTTCACGTATTCAGAGGTACTCCTAAATGAAATAAGCATGAAGTGAGGTATTACGAACCAATGTAATGATGATGAATCAGTCACACGACTTGCTTACAACGTGCTTTGTTTATATTCAGTAATCGACAGGCATTATCGTTAAACGGATAGAATGTAGTTGTCAGTGCATGTATGTCATAACAGAAAAATTCACAAAACCGCGTTACTATATTGATCAAGTTTGGATGGAATATATATGAATTCAAAATATCAAAAAATGTTCAAAATATACATTCTATTAAATAACAAATGTGAAAATACAGAATATACAAGTTTTTGTAAAGTTTAAGTAGTATAAAGTAATTTTCATCTCCATTATCGACGATAACGAAATCGTTTAAAATGAAACCATAATTGAAAGATATTATTTTGAAATTGACATCGAAATCCATGTTTATACGAATATTCCCATTCACGATTAACAATTTTAAATGCAATATCTTCATATGGTGGTCCAGCGATAAAACGTAGAATAGCAAAATCTTTCTCTGCTTCACCGCATGATGTTAATGTATAAGTTGGTGTTTTAGTTTTGTCAATTAAATCCGGATAAAAAACATTGAATTTATAGCCTTGAACAATTTTAGGCGGTGGATTATCTAGATCATAATGTGTTTGATTATATTTGTTCCATACAAAACCAGTATGAACACGATTAAAGAAACGTGGTTTTCTTGGTCTATATTTATCGGACCAAAGGAAAGATTGATCTTCAACTGGAATCTAGACGACAAAATGAGAATGAAACAATAGATAAATTTATAATACGCATCATGGGTGAAATAAAGACATGTTGTGGTTTAGATCATAAGCTGATTTCAGTTAAACAATCACTACATCCTCCCAAAGAACATTGGAGAATTATTTTGTCCTAGTACAAAATTTCTTTGTGGTAGGTGATGAGTACTGGAGGCGCTGCCAGCCACAGAATCCAGGACCTTGTGCCCAAGGTGTTACCCTTCAACTAATTAGTTTTCGACAAATGCTTCATACTTCTAAATGGTTAATTTGCAACATAACCTAACCATTACCATCAAAGACAACTGACACATATGAACTTCAATGATCACAGATTTTTACTAGAACTTCAGAAATTCTTCAAGTTAGTCATTAATGAGTATATTATAAGATACAAAATAATTTGTGTGATCATAAACAAAAGGCATTCATAGCAATCGATTCCTAATGTATGTATCAGGATAAAGGTGGATCATTCCAAGTACCTAGTTAATTACAATCAACTTGAATGTATATCACACATTAATTAGGTGATTATTTTGTGGGAAAGTCGCTACCTGGTTAAATTTAATTGTCTTAGAAACTGTGGCAAATGATTTTAGGTGATATCAGTAAATAAAACAACTACATACACCTTTTCTTGCCTTAAACAACTATGACTAACATATCATAGTGATTTATACTAATAACACTCTCTGTAATAGTGGCGATATTTAGTCGTTCAAATGCTGAAGTAATGAGATATCGACTAAATGACTTACAAAATCAATCCTACTTCAACTGAAGAAGAGAAGTATCCCTCATATAAATGTAGCTACTTAAAACTTAGTAAATGAAACTGTACATGGTTACAAAACGACATCAGCCCCAACTCCTACGTAACAGCTGTTCATCTTCCATGAAGATTAACTAATCCTAGCACATACGACAAAAATATTCATACATACGTCTAAATAATATAGTGTCTTACTTTTAAATGATCATTTAAGTCACAATTATATTTAATTTATAGGCTTCAAACGTTTACAAATTTGCTGTCGATTTTACAAATATTCTCTTTATAATAAAATTAAAATGGTGATCATACTTCGGATTTCATTTTAAGTCTTGATTAAGACTAAACAACTGGTTAGTTTACTCGATTCTCCCAAGTTCCCAATTGAAACTACTTTTAAGTTAACTGCAGCGCTTTCTAAACTATTTAAATCAAGGATATTCTGTAACAGATGTCTTCTCATTAAAAAAACCCATAAAATCAAGTTGGATTTGATAGTGGACACTCACTGATGTTATCCAATAATAGTTCGACTTTGGAATATGTTACGTTCCTTGGGTTGGATGAAATAATTGCTGATGACGTTGATCAGAACGACAAGGAGAGCTTCACAATTAGAGCACCCCAGCTAAAAGAACACAACATAACCGAAAACATTGCCCTAAGCTACCCGTCTTCCCTATCACTTCAATACTCCAAGCATATTTAAAATAAACTGATTGAAAACACGTCTATCGACTCCGTAACAGTGTGTCCCTCTTGTAAATGATAAGGTATCTATCTGCCTAATGCCTTCTACTATTTTTATTATCCTTTGAGCAATGTTGGTCAGTGAATGAAATAATCTTTTAACCAATAATTAACTACGGATTATCTAATACACTTACACGTACACCTGTTCACATCATAATTTCTATGGATGATCTCATAAACTAAGTTCTGATTTTAAATAATTCACGAAATTATTGTTAAGCATTCATTGCCCTTTTAAAATATCTTAACGAAACAACAATATAATTTAATTTGTGTTGATTAGAATTATTTAATTTTTTGATATTTTGACTGGACCTTGATCAGTCTTAGTTGTCATGTGTGAATCCAGTGCGGATTCCCTCGAAATAACCATTATGACACAAGTTTACGTAAAGAACAGATGAAATATAGCGAGCAGTGGAATTCAGAATGCAGCTACATCCAACTGACGAGTCCCAAGCAGGATGAGATGCGTGTCCTGGATCCCACTGCTGACCATATTCTATTTATTCAATACAACGATCTAGTCATGCTTACCATAACTGAGAATTGTGCATCTTCACCATCTTCCATGCCTTCTCTAGCTCGTCTTATAAGCTCTTCTTCTTCAGTAGCTTGCATCGTTCCTGTACGTAAGACTTCTTGACGCTATTATTTAAAAAAATAAAAAAACAAAGAATTGTAGTTATTGAGAAATTAAACGTAAAACATGATTACATATTACGAATGTATTTCGCTAAATGGTTGTGAAATAAATAGTTTAGTTTAGACCACCTGATTACTAACGATCACATCTCAGGTTCGAACCCTGCCTCTCAAACTTTGGGTAGTTGCCACATAAAACTGTAGTTTAAAGCCAATTACATAAAAGCTTGTACCTAATAGATAAGTTGTGATATTTTTGTAAAATGCAAGATTATCAATATGAGGGTTGTGGAGATTGTTGAACTTTTATTGAGATCATGAATTGATCAGTGTTGGACCATCATTGAAAATCTGGAAGCCCTGAATGATCTTTTCGCCCTAGTATGGGACTCCTCAGTAATGCACATCCACGGAACAGCCGTCTTGTGCTTCCAGGTTTTCGATGGTGGTCTAAGATTGATCAGTTCATGATCTCAATAAAAAGGCAAGATTGTAAGTAAAATAATATGGACAACTAATATTAATCAACACAAATATTGTAAACAGTTTAATAGATTACTACAACACTTTAAATTAGAGTGCAAAGTATGAGGTTATCACTTATCACTGATAACGAAAAACAGTGCGTACATAAGTATACTTTTTATGTAGAACTTATTACTTATGTGAAAACATTTATAGCTGTAACAGCCATTAATTTGAGAAATAAGGCATATTTAGAAGAATAAAATAGCAATTGATTGATCATTGAATAATAATCAGTATCGTACCTCTCTAGGCGTTTGATGCTTATTGAATTTTATCAGCCAACTTACATTGTGACCACCTATTCAAAGTAACCTGATATCATATGCACTTTGTTGGAAGTAGTCAGCAGAAGACCCTGAAAATAGGTTATGTATCAGTTGGTACTCATCAAAAAGGTATTCCTGCAATCTTGAGGGCACAGTGTAACTTGGTAGATAGATTTCAAACAGCATGACAAAACAAACATGAAATTGGTCACTTTACTACTCAGTGATCAATTGGTGCAGATATCTCATTCTTATAGCTCAGTAGTAACGTGTCTGATTTTGAGGGCGAGCGACAAGGGTTCGAATCCCACATGGACCACTGGTTTCATCGAAATTACTTGCTGATGAATGTCAGCTAGCCTGAAACATAGGTCCCGCGTCTCCTGGTGACTACCTTTAAACACTTAGCACCTCAGTTAGAAGTAAAACATACTCCGATAACACCGATACTAAATTCCTAACACATTGGTATACCAAAATCTAGTTAATCACCGCTAATGAAGAACAAAAAAAACTATTTTGGACACAACCGTATATTAATAAGGAGACCGTAGGAGAATCATATAACTTATTCAGTTGGGTGTGGGAAGTATACTAGTGATATGATATGTGAGATATTAGAATGGCGCTGGTACTTGACTGTGTTTTTAGCTGGTTAATTTTATTAAGGCTAATTGGTCTAGACCAATGCTTCGTCCTGTTTAGGACTCGTCAGTCGGATATATTCGAATCCGAAGTAATGAGACTCGAGCCTACTATCTCCCACTTTAAACATTAATGTATTACCATTAACCGAACTCAAATATAACCACCTTTATTAATGTATAAAATAAATCATGTTTGAAATTTACACGTTGCTAAAATGTTTAATTTTTTTCAAAAAAAGAGATGAGTTTTAAATAAATGGTCTTTAACAGTATTTGACTAACCTGATATTCAATTTTCGCTTGGTCATCTTCTGGATTATAAATAACGGCATCCAATTCTAAATCATCCGGATTAATACGTGGTGGTGAATAAATCGACGGATTATACGATTCTTCTTCAATCAAAGCAGCCGCTTGTAGTTCAGCTGCACGAACAGCTTTGATAGCTTCAGCGCTGTGTAAGTCTTCAATAGCATTATTACTAACTGGATTACCCTAAAGCGAGAATATGAGAGAGGGAGAAACTTTGTTTTAATGCGCGACACAGTATAGGTGTGTACTTTTCCCATTACAAAAAACATATGATTCAGTATAAGAGGGTTTGTGAAGATTATTGGATATTATTGAGATCACGAACCAACCTAAGTTAGACAATCAATAAGAACTAGGAAGCATTCGAAAGTTGTTTCATCCATGTATGGGACTCCTCAACAGTGTTTATTCTCACAACCCCACCACAAATTGAACCCAGGACCTTCAAGTCTCATGACGAGCGGTTAACCTTTATTTTAACTGTAGTTCATAATAACAGGCAAAATTACACATGAATTTGATCAATCCATCAATAAGCCATTGGTTGATAGATGGACTTTTAGAAAAATGATTATTGTAGGGTAACATCAATAGTTCTTTCTAGTTAAATTACAACCAAATTTGGTCATAGGTTTCTTTTCGACTTGAAGTAATAATAATAGTCGCTTCCGATCATACTCATCTATAAATGTTAAAGATCAAACATATTGCCCATATGGACGTTCTTCTTCATTGCCAAATATATTTTTAACGTATAAATTCGATATTATTCGTCTCTTGTTTCACAAAAAGACAGAAGAGAAGGGAAATATATGAGTCATCAAACTGGCAGTTCTTGAGTTTCTCAGTGATTAGATACGTGTTAGATTGTAAATATTTTACAAAGCCGTGTAAGTACACACAATTGACAAATAAAATTAGTTAATTAAGACAAATCGAAAACAAAAGAACTTATAACAATAAGTGGATGTTTGGCGAAATTCAAGACCCAAAAGTTGTGCAACACCGTTCTGTCCATTAATCAATTACGATTGTGTTGTCTGACATCCCTTTCTACTTACTGATCTACTTCCAAGGGTCAAGTAAATCCATATCAACCAATCTTTGTGTTCTCACTATCCATCGTCGGATTCAGAGTTTCAGTGTCAAAATGAAGTCAGCTAAGCAGTTCTCTCCCCAGAGGTAACACTTTCAATATCTCTATTCTTTGCTTCTATGAACTTTAAATGAGTAAATGAACATTAAATTATTACAAACCGAGTCCTCTTACGTCTCTGTTCAATTCAATCGGAGGTAAAGGAGGTGGGATGAAATTTTCAGGATCATTTTCATCTTCAATAGATTGAGCAGGTTGTTCAATGTCCAATTCGACATGATCATTTGGCTGTTTAGCAACAACAGCACTAGGAAACAATGGTTCTGAGACAATACCTTGAGCTTGACGCAAACATTCTAATTTACGTTTAAGATTGTCTTGATGCATATCACGTAGACGAGTACGGGCCATTTGAGCACGAACAAATTGAGCTAATGTCTCCCAATAAGTTACATCTACACCTTCACCACCACGTAGCTTTGGAGCAATCTATAAGAGCAAACAAAAGAACATGTGAAAAACAAGGAAGTTTCAACTTATGTTTTGGTAAACTTAGTGACAGCAATTATATGCTTGTATAATGAAAGTAATGGAATAAAATAAATTCACTAAAATCTAAGTTCTTAACGAATACGAAATTGCCATTTCAGAGACTGTAAATCTGCATGACGTAAGTCTTAATATAGCAGGTATATCCTACTGACCAGTTTCATTACTTACGCCTGTTACTCCTCGTGAAGGAGAATAGGCCGCTCAGCAGCATTCTCCATCCAACACCGTCCTGGGCAATCCTTCGCACTTGTTATTCATCATTTTCATGTCTGCTTCCAATTTCCGACGTAGTGTGTTCTCCGAACTTCCTCTTTTCCGTTTTACTTCACGTAAGCGCTTGACACGTGATGCAGTTTGGTTATTTCCGTAACGTATGTCCTACCCACTTCCATCGTCTTTTCCTAATTTCCTCCACAGCTGGGACCTGGTTTGTTTTCTTCTACAGTAGATTGTTGCGAATGGTTTCCGGTCGACGGACATTCAGTATCTTGAACAGACAACTGTTTATAAATACTTGTACCTTCTTGATGACGGTTGTAGTAGTTCTCCACGTTCCAGCTCTGTACAGTAGAACTGCCTCGACGTTTGTATTGAAGATTCTTACTTTGATATTGGTTGACAGTTGTTTTGAGTTCCATATGTTCTTCAGTTGTAAGAATGCTGCCCTTGCTTTGCCAATCCTCGCCTTTACGTCTGAATCCGATCCTCCTAGTTCATCAATGATGCTGTCCAGGTACGTGAAAAATTCCAAATCTTCCAGAACTGACGAGTTCCAACTAGCATGAAATTTGAGTAAAGGGTTTTTGCCGATCAACTACCTCGAACCATTTAACGTCAGGGAATTAATAAAAAAAGCTCTAACCAGTCAACACTTTAGAATGTATGGATAGACAATTTGTATAAAGACTTATCTCTAACACTCTACCCTTTACTTTAAATACTGAGAACCAAACAACTTCCAATACTTCTTTGTCCTAAGCAACTTATATAAATAAGTAATCGACAGAGGGAAACTATTGCTTTGTATTCTTAGATAACGTTTTTTCAAGAAACAATCGTTTGTTCATTTTTAGAAGTTACTTATCTAGTGTCGATTTGTGCTGAAAACTATCTTGTTCACCTTTGCAAATCAAATTTATCTTATCTTGTCTGCGTTATATGAATGCCTGTGGACATAATGTACAAAATGAAGAGAACTCTATCGTTTTATAATGAGAATTAGAAGTACATGTAAAAACACTAAAAGATAAAGTGGCTACATAGGTCAGATAATTAATTTATTACAATTCGAGAATACACTTTTAGCAAGAAAAAAAAACAAGGATATCAACACTATTATGCTTTAATTTTAAACTACCGTTCACTAGTATAAATGGTCTTGGACTACAAAGATCAGTGTCAAAAGTGTAGGTTGCATAATTTCTACAAACTAGACAACAGTTTATTCAAGTGAGTTACTTTGATCCTCTCATAATTTATTACATCATTCATTAACATTCGAATAGTTAATCGATCAACATCCTATATAAACTAATCGTAGTAAATGACTTACTAGATGAATGTACACTATCCTAAATCCAGTTATATAAACTCATTACGTTTCATAATATATTGAACACGAAAACATAACATCCAGTTACGTGAATTGTTGGAAACATGACATCATTTATGATGTTGCAATATTAGTCTTTAATTTTAATGTATAACAGAAGCAATTATAAACGCAGTAATCAATAACTGTTGAAACAATAAACACCAATTGGTTATATTCAGGGTGTAACTGAGACGGCTTAAAATCATGACACTGGGTACAGGTAACTACTAACCAACAATTCACTATTATTAAAGACTCGATAGTAGACAGATTAATAATAATTATAAGCTCTAATCAGTAATTAACTTAGGTGTTGCAAAACTATCCACAAACTGAAACACTTGATTTTATGTATACAGACAAACAATATGTAGCTGCTTAAATAGTCAAATCTTTGGTCTGAATATAAGAAAATTAATGGAATGTAACTGAAAATAAATTAAGTGATGTAATAAACTAAAATGATTGTTATACTTTTAATGACACTACCGTTTTAACAGAAAATTCTAGTATCAAGTCATTTCCCAAGTACAAGTGGTTTATGTATTCAACTCCCATTGCAAATTATACTAGACAGCTACCGAAATCGGTGGGGGTGTCGTTGGGTTTGAATGTGAAATCCATTGTTTGAAATCAGAGTGATTTGACTACTGAGTTATTGGTACATAGATTAAGTGAACACTAGTGGGTATATCACTATGCTATAACATAGGTAGAGTTAGTTCCTTCTTCAATAAGTTATTTAGACAAATATCTTTAAATCAATAAAGATGATTTTGAGTTATTTACTTTTGTCAAACACAAACGTCATCAAAAGTGTAGTTGATGCAAATACAATTATATAAAATAGTAACTTTTTAAACCCATTAGTACTCCAGTGGTAGTTGATAGCGTCTACATTGTATTTGTGTTCGAAAGTGAATAAATGTTAGTAGTTTTGAATTATAACGATGATTCTGTTAATTAGCAAAATTGACAAGGTAAGATTGTAGTAAATCACGTTTTATATCAGCGATCAGAATGTGCTTCTCAATTCAACATGACTTTAAAGCCAAAATTAATGGATCAATTAGAGGCAATTGGTAATCAACATACATACGAAGTAAAAAAAAAAGACAACGAGATGGTCTCCCAACGCCCGACAGTATCAGTTAGACTAGTACGGAAGGTAGTGTTGTTAATTGTAATACAAGCCAATATAAGGCATATGCTTACATTTTTACTAATTTAAAAACAAATTTAAATAAACTAATTCATTAGGTACTTAGAGCCACTCTCTCTAATTATAAGGGCTATTAATACTACTCTTTTATCTGAATGGACGAAAGGAGAGTGAAGTTTTACTAGGTTATCAACAGTCATGCTTTACCACATGAACTAATTTTCAATAATCTTAAATGCTCGAAGGTGGATAGTTTATTTTCAATTGCGAAAGTTTTCGTTGTTGTTCTGGACATCAATTTCAGAGCTTTTATCTGAAGTAAGCACTAATGATTCTGTCCAGAAAATGACAGAGAAAAGTTAACAATTAGAAATTATTCAACTCAGAGAATTCAACATTATCGAAAATATCGCTTCAATTATCATTTTAACATGAACAAAATAAATAATCAGACTTCATCTATATAACCTTCAAGTTAATGAAAAACTTACTTGTTTTTCTAATGCACTTAATTGATTGTATGTTTTACCCTTTAATGTTTCAGCAACACTTTGCATAACAGACTGACTAATAGTAGCCGAACTACGACCTCTGGTATCGGCACCGCATGCACCAGCTACTCCACTATTTTCTTCTAATCGACGCAATTTATTTAATTCATCTTCAACAACAGTTGTAATATCACGCCAATATTCTGCATTACAACCTTTTTCTAATTCCATATACACTACCTATAGTTCAAAAAAGTATTCCAAGAAAAGTCAGTAGAAAAAGTGGATAGATGAGTGTTGAAACAGCAAAGTTGTTTAGTTAGTAGTACACAGGATATTGACATTTAAGATAACTGATCTAAATCCTAATATAACTGTCCACGAGTGTCTGTAATTCTTAAATAAAACTAGGAGTAACAGCGAGGAACTTTTACTAGTGGGTCCAACTATATCAAGAGTGAGATAGTAACTATAACTGAAGATAATGGATGATGGTCGAGGAATATCACAGTGGCTGGAGTTAGAAATGTAGACAATTGCGTATCGAGCCCCAGTGGTCTAAAGGTAACACACTATCTGCAAATCAAATAATCTCCACAAATCTCTCATTTCAGTGCTCAAGCGGTCAGTCATAATTATCAAATAGGTTTGTACAAAAAAATAAGTTACCATACCGCATTATCATGGTGAGATGACAATAATAAGATGAATAGCAAAGGGGTCGAAATAATTGCAATAATAATGAAAATAAGGAACACTAAACAACGAAACTATAGCTTAAAAGACAGAACGAAAAAATATGTATGAAGGGTAACCGAAATTCAGAAACTAGAAGATAAAAAGTAAGGGCACTCGCGCCATGGTAGTCGATTCTGAACTATGTCATCCAACATCTCCAATCATTGATCATGATAATCGCGCTATCTCAAAACAGGCATTCTGAACTTACCAACGTGCTTCATACCAACATTCAACGACTTAAAGACTGATGTTACGTCTTGATTTGGGCGCTCCTGTTCTTTTTCCAGCTTACTCTCGCACCAACCAACATCGCGCGACAAAGTAGGGAATGGTTAAGCAAATGTAATACATGTTTCAACCACCATAATCGATGAAGATCCACAATCTAATCAACCGATCTACTGTTTCTACCTAGTACGAATCCCTAACATCAGTATTGCTCACTTAGTTGTTTTATGATGGGCAACCATTGACTCGAAGATACTTATGTTTAAAAACTTTCAGCCTACACATGTCTTCTATTTTTATAGACCATGTTTTATAGCTACATAGTAATACAATGGAAACAGCTGCACAGGGTACTCGTTCTTTGGTTGATGGATAGGCATCTTTCATCGTAAATAAAACAAGTCATTTGTTGAAATCAAGAGTTTAAAAGACATCATAATGAATAACATGGTGATAAAGAAGAAAATATAATAATAATAATATACAACCAGACCTTAATATCTTCAAGTAAATCTTCTAAATCTTCTATACCTAAGCCAACAAGAAATTGTGTCGGTTCCAAAATTTCTACTACACCTGATATATCAAATTCCATTGGATCTTCCTCTTGGTCAGCTATATATTTTGCTAACAAATCAATTGGTTTAGCACGTCCATCGGCAATACGAATACGAGAACGTAATTTAGCCTAATATTTACAATAGTGAAAAAAAACAAATATCATATTATATTAAGTAAGATATTGACAAGGCTATTAAAATTTATCTTGTGTACATCCAAATATTCAGCTAGAATATTGATGGTAATAACAAGGAAAGAAATATAACTTTAGAAAATCTTACTTGAACTACTCATTGTTTATAACTATTTTCATATAATAATAAGTTATTACTTCAATTAAACTACCACTCCTTCCGTTACGACTCGTCTACCCTTGTCAAATATTGAGAATTGAAGTGGTTTATAAAAGTTGTCATGTATAATCAATGTTCCATCAATCTCATAATCAATACAAACATAGACGAAGTGATAGTTAACTATTAACAAGTACATAAATAGAATCTAATGTACGGTGACTTTACTAATTTGATGTCACGGTGGATCTGATGCGGATGTAAAGGCGCGGATCGGTAAAGCAAGAGAAGCATATTTACAATTGAAGAACATCTGGAACTCAAAACAACTGTCAACCAACACCAAGGTCAGGATTTTCAATACAAATGTCAAGACAGTTCTACTGTATGGGGCGGAAACTTGGAGAACTACGAAAGCCATCATCCAGAAGATACAGGTGTTTATTAACAGTTGTCTACACAAAATACTTTGGACCCGTTGGCCAGACACGATCAACAACCTACTGTGGGAGAGAACAAACTAGACTCCAGCGGAGAAAGAAGTCAGAAAGAAGCACTGGAAGTGGATAGGGCACACATCGAGGAAAGCATTCAACTGCATCACAAGACAAGCCCTCATATGGAATCCTCAAGGTTAAAGGAGGAGAGGAAGACCAAAGAACACATTACACCGAGAAATGGGGACAGACATGAGAAAAATGAACAACAATTGGATAGAACTAGAAAGGAAGGCCCAGGACAGAGTGGGTTGGAGAATACTGGTCGGCGGCCTATGCTCCATTGGGAGTAACAGGCGTAAGTAAGTACTAACTTGATATTAAATTATTTCATTTTGACAAGTCTCAAAAATGAAAACTGTACACTTCAATAGCCTTGAACAAATATCTTATCATTGATGTCATAACTAAATGTTAAAATTAATGTAATAGGTTTGTAGAGACTATTGAACTTCAAAGCTAATATCACGAACTGACCTTGGTTAAACAATTCAGTGGTCTTCTAAAGGTTTTAACCAATAAACCACAATTCCACCTTGAGGACTAGTAAATTTACTACAAATGTGGATTACTGATACGTGTAGAAGGAGCTGTACTTCAAAGATTATAATATGTTTAGGATAGTTTTAGGTTCAGAATCTTCAGGAAAATGTAATAAAATTTATAATGACTGATAATTAACTAATTAGAAATAGCTAGGTTTAATGTGTCAGTATCTACCTTTATTCTGTAAGTTTTCAAAAAGATATTACTTGTTCAAAGTTCTTTTCAGTATTTTTCTTGAGTTCTAAAGATTTTCCCGAATAACTGCTGCTAAGTAACTCTTAACAATCACTTCATAATTTAAAAATATCTATCATTTACAAAACAAGATTTATGAAGCCTAGCATACTGTTATTATAGATGACTACATAAACTGATCCATTCAATCATAGAAAGAATTCAAAGACAATCATACCAAAAAACAAGTTATAAAATCAAAATAAAATTAACCAATGATTTTTAAGGTCAAGGTATTAAGAATTTCAATACACAAATATAGAACCGCTGAAGTCTCTGAAATTAATTTAGAATTGATTAGTTTCTTAAAATTAATAATGTGTTTACGTTTTAGAAACCAAATGAATATAAGATCTTGTTTTATTCTATTTTAGCAAGAAAGTGAACAGAAATTAATTTTCGCAGGTATGCTTTGTTGAGGAATGCCAACTAGAACCAAACGTAGGTTCAGAGTATCCTATCGGCTAGTTTCAACTACCTAACATATCAACATACTGCAAGTGATGCTAAGTCACTTAGACTAATTGCCACATTGCAACTTGATTGATAGAATTCGACCAGTACTAAGCGACTAGACAAACACCATATCAGTGGTGAATAAATTTTAAAGATTTCAGTCCCACAGAAAGTTGGTTGAGGCCCAAATAACTCTCAGTGGTGATGTCTAAGTTTGTGAGCCTGGGTTATACGAGTCCGAATACAGCAAGGAGTACCAGTTCCCTTAAGATTTTAGATAATTCTTGTTAACCGTGTCCGACTAGTATTGTAGTGAACAAGAACACGGGTGGGGACAATCGACTGTATTTAGCACAAAGATTACAGACTATCTCAATAAAATGTGAATACCATAAAGTCAATCGTCAATTTGCAAAATATCATTCCATCATATCAAACTGTACTGTTCCCGTTGCAAACACTAATCCATTGTCTCCCATTCCATTGTACATGTGTTTTCTTACAATTCCATTGTGCTCTTGCTCTTCCTTTCTTGATCTTCGCCATCTTCTGCTGCCGGGCCTTACGTTTATTTAACGCACGTCATATACTACTTATATGAATATAAGTAGCTCACACCACACTCGTCCCCCCCTTAAAGCAGTCGTTCTTGTGGTGGTTCATGCTCGCCGTGCAACATTCTCCGTCTCTGCAGTCTGTGCCACGCTCTCCGATGTCGAGTCTGCGGCGCGCTGACTTCCACAGCTCTGTCGATCTGCCGGGGTAACAACAACCAACATCCACCCGGCACCTGGGACGCTTGACATCCGCACTCCACCGGCCTGCTGAGCCATCTACATCCGATGTCCGCCCAGCAGCCGCGCGTCCCGACGCTCCACTCCGTCGACAGCACCCGCTACGGCCAACGCAGCCCCGCCAGGACACTTCACCAGACGCCACCTCTCCGCACCAGACTGCCCCAACTGGCACCTCAACTCCAGGCCCGCAACGGCGTCCGCAGAACAGCACACTCCTCCTCTCCCGGTTGGCAGCGACACCAAATGTAGTGAACAAGAACACGGGTGGGGACAATCGACTGTATTTAGCACAAAGATTACAGACTATCTCAATAAAATGTGAATACCATAAAGTCAATCGTCAATTTGCAAAATATCATTCCATCATATCAAACTGTACTGTTCCCGTTGCAAACACTAATCCATTGTCTCCCATTCCATTGTACATGTGTTTTCTTACAATTCCATTGTGCTCTTGCTCTTCCTTTCTTGATCTTCGCCATCTTCTGCTGCCGGGCCTTACGTTTATTTAACGCACGTCATATACTACTTATATGAATATAAGTAGCTCACACCACAGTATGAGACCTGGATCTTGAATTCCCTGCTGACTACCTCCGACCGCCCAAAAAATTAATTATGCTTGATTGATAGGTTTACGTTGTTTAAACCTAATGGGAAGATTATTTTTATCACGCATTGATACCAATTGGCAAGTCATTGTGTGCTCACGCTAACCAACTGGCTCCAACATGCATTCCCGAATTTGTAGTAAGCAATCATAACAACTAGTGAAGTTCAATATCAATACCAAGAGCGAGGAATTTACCCACCATCGTGACCCATAAATGATTATTGTGCCGTATTATTAAGAACTGATCGCAGTTATAGGTCATATGATTCCAATTTAGTGAACTTACATACTACATACTCATTATGAAAAATGAAGACCTGGCGGTTTCTCCCTAAAGGGACTGTAGATGTGCACTGCTGAAACATATGATACTAGAGTAGGAATGATTTTATCTATACACAAAATAATGAACATTAGGTTTTATTGTCTTACAAAGGATTAGTGATTAACATATACAACACTGATGGTATGCTCGGATTATTTGCTACCATCTTAGTCCAGCAAATTAAAAAAAGGTTGTTGAGCACGAAGATATCTTAAATAACTAAAACAAGATAAATATTTGACACGTCAATTTTAGTTTATCACTCAGTAAAAAATCATGCAATAAAGTTAGTCAAGTATGAAAAATAATCATCAACATACATTTAAATCGCTACACATTAAAACAGAATACACGACTGGATTCATCAAATGTATCCCAGAAGCATAATACTACAGAAACTATTGTACGTCAAAATAAGAGAATATATCTATATACATATTTTTGCAGTGGATAAAATAACTACTTATTTAAAATATAAGCATATATTATACTTGTTGTAAATGGAAATGGTCTTCTTGTTGTTCCCATGATCGATAATATTCTGCTTCTTTATCTCGTTGCATCATTTCCATTTCTTTTTCATGCTGTTCACGTTCTCGTTCTCTTTCAATACGTCTACGTCGAACAGCTTCCAATTCCATTTTATTCTCTTGCATTTTCTTTTTTTGTAAGACTTGAAGCTAGGTTTAGGTTGGTATTGAAAAACAATTGAGTGATTGTAAGTGAAGAAACAGAACAAAATACTTAAACATTTAACAAGAATAATGAAAATTATAGGTTTGCATGGTTACATTAGAGTAAGTATCATACGTGGTACGATCATCTAAGAAAAATAGAAATAATCTCCCTAACCATGATGTTCAATAAACTGGGTTTGAATAGCTGAAAAAGAACAGTTTCCCGTGTTAACAAGCAGAAACCGGAATTCTAGGCTTTTCAATTGATTACACTAAAAATCAAGGCAAATATATGGTTCAGTCACCTGTTCTTCATAACCGCACTTTATATAGAAATCTAAATGAACAGATAGTATCATTAGAGCTCATACTTTAGACATAGATCTTAAGTATGGACATGGATATGGTAGATGGGTTACACACAATGGGTTTTTAATAAGACGATGTGATGCAGTTTAAGAATAAATAGATCACGCTAATAGTTGGGTTTAGACTATTCCAAAATGCGTCAACGATAATCTTTACCGGTGCTTTATCGTGTGATATATGAAAAATCAACAGGACCTATATCTTAATAAAAGCATCTTAATAAGTCACTGATTTACACTTCTTTTTCAAAAAATATATGATAGTCGGTGGGATATTAGTAGGGTGAAAGGATCTTTAACAGCTAAAGTGGTTGACAAATGTATTACGTATATATACCAGGCTCTATGTTGCTTATGACTAACGGACTGAAACTGAAAGATGTTTAGAGGTGACTGAATAATAACATGAGATCATTCCATAAGACCTTTGATTATTGGATTGAGCTATATAGTAAGATGCAAACTTCCTGGTTCGAGTCGGTGCGGCAATTTCAGTTAACAGTTGAGGACCGTGAGTGAAATGGCTCAAAATCAATTGCAGTGGCATAGCTGTATACATTTTCCTTTTATCTTCTATTACACGCTGGATCTTAATATTATTTTATGCTTCTTATCCCGTGATTTTGTTCGATATCATCTAACCATATTCTCTATGTTTAGCTCATACCATTATTTTATTATAAGTATTATTATTTTGACTCATGATTTTCTTCCTAATTTCTCATTATATTCATGTGAATTCTGTCAATTTGTGTCTGCAAATTTACGCTAAAGTCGTTTATAGTTAACTGATGTAAAGTTCGAATTGGCTGAGAAACAATATTTAATTAACTATCGAGAGGTAATCAGCGCGAATAGAATAAAGCTGTTTTAAAAACTACCATCTCTAAAGAACAGGAAGTTTAAAACCTACCTCCTCTTTGGATAAATGTGACAATCCTTGTCGTTCTAATTTCCGTTTCCAAACAAATGATTCAGAAAGATGATGATCACCGAATGGATTATCTTCATTTGTATAACCTAAATACTCTTTATCCCATCCCATTCGTTCACGTCTCCAACGTTCTTTAGCTTCCTTTTTAGCTAAACGTCTAGCTCGTTTCTCTTCTGGTGTTTCCAGGATTTTTATCAAAGCCTTAGAACATTTAACGAAAAAAATAATTAGTAACAAGGAAATAATCTTCAAATGCAACAGACTTATAATTTTTGTCTACAGACCGTTTTTGTCAAGCTATACTGATCGAACAAAATAAGTTAAACTATTATCCACAAATAAGACTAACATTTTAGACAATCCACAGAGTTATGTACAAAGCTGTGAGTTAGATTTATTAAATACAGAAAAACTATGAAAGATAGTTTGCAAGATTGTTGTTTAAGAGTTAAGCTTGTAGAGCCACGGTCTTCGATTCTCATTTTATTTTCTTTATTTAACAGGTACAGATTCATTTACTTGGCCCCGAGTCACACTAATTGTGAGAGCTAACTATACTAATCAGTTATATAAACCGAAATACATGGAACAGGGTTAGGATCTGAGAGCAAGTTGTCTGAATTCTAGTGATGAATGCAATGTGACTCCCAACGTAGATTCTTATAACCTTATGTTCACAAACAATTAAAACCAATGATAATATGTGTTTCTTATAGGACATTTCTGAAATGATCTAATTACTATCATTAGAAAATAAGGTAAGTAAAATGCAAAGATGTACACCCAGATTACTAGTGATTAGGATAGGTGTTGAGGTCTAAACAAGAACGGACTAAATATTCTGTAAATTAACAGAGCTGTTACGAAACAAAAGCTTAATATAAGTCCAACGTATATATCATACGCTTAATATTCCCTAGTAAACATTCAACTTGTGTTCTCAAAGACTAATAATTTCGAACTTATCCCATTTAAAAACAAACCATTTGCAGTCCGAAAAGCTTACATATTCATATCATAATATCAGGAAATGTTTCGTCAGTGAAGAAAGACAAAATGAGCAATAATTCATTCGCACTTATTGCTCTTTTCATTCCGACCACAAAATACGTCCTGCAAAAATGAGATATTTACACTGGTTTTTTAATGCATTTTTTGTTTATTCATTGTAGCATATAATAATATGGTAGTAGTATTTTTAATAGATAATGCTTGCAACACCGTTCACTGGCCGTAGTCGTTTTAGTAAAATTAACCAGTAAAAGTGTGTACAAAATCATGCATGCCACTATAAAGTACACCTTATTTCCGTACTAATACAGAAAAATGGAAGGGTAAAAACGAGCGAATCTAAAGAAAGCTGGACAGTTCATTGATATGTAACAAGAGTCGACTGAAGCGCTAACACAGAATACAGCATATTTTGGTCTTAGATGTCAGTGGTTATAATTTTGAATTTAACCTTCGTATCCGCAGCTTAAGAAAAGGTATACCTCCGTAAACAATTGAAATATCATATATTAAAGTCTGAAACATAGCTACCAAGTGCAAGATTAAATACACAGCTTGGAGCCACACAATCACTGTAGGAACCATTGACACTATCAAATCCCCTAAACATAAACAGATGGAACAAGTTCTGAACCGGCTAGCGTAATGTTTTAACTACTAAACCATCCTGTTATGTTCTTATGTCAGGTTAGTGTATCACGTGATAAGATCGCCAATTAGACTCGAATTATAAGACCAGAATAATGACGCATAAACTAGTACGAGCAGCCTAGAGTTCCTATTGGTCCTCCGAAATAGTAGCTTCTCTCCTAATCCAGCCGACTCAGTCCAGAACGCCAACATCAGCCTCCGCCATACGAATCATATATTTCAGACATACTGGGTTATTATGCAAGCAAACCACATCGCACTAAACCATAAAATGAAAAATAACAATTATACAGGATCAGGCCAAAAAGTGGCTGTGATTGTGAGAGACTGTTACCAATAAATCGGAAATACCTTAAGAATATTAAATCTTATAATAACAGTCAGTACGTTAAATAAAAGCTTATAATAAAAGGAATATGAATATGCATATAATATAGTTACTTAATAGTTATACAACAAGAATATAAATATAACAATAGTCCACAAATAGATCCCAGCGGTTACTATCCACCTATTCTCCGTCTGGATATAACACCTCCCCTTTTTTGAAGCATTAGAAATGGGGGTGTTCACATGGTTTTGCCTGTTTCCACGTAAAATCATATTCTGATCAAAATAGGTAGTTCTGATTTTCCGACATTATCCTCCCCCATGAAACAATGTTAGATCTTCATAAACCCACGTTAGAAATGAGGTAGCTTTATTTGAAGCATATTTCTTACATTTACTAAAGAATCCACTAGAACTGACTGCATTAGAAGAATAAACGACGGATGATATGAAATCATCCGAACTGTAATTAAGTTCGAGCTCATTTAGGAATCGCGCTTCACGTTGAACAAGTTTCCCACCAGAAACAAATACATTATGCTGACAAATAACATTCAATATGACAACATCAAGATTTGATTGTTCTGAAATATTTTCCTCAATTTTATTAAGAATCTGATTGCTAGATAATGAATCATTAGAAAAACCAGCACCTACCAAAATCGCATCAGATTTTCGATTACGGATTGATTCATTCGACACATTGTTCTCATATTTATAAGAAATTTCATCAAAAATATATGGCTCATTAAAACAACCCATATCTGGTAAAATAACTTGATAATTAACAGGCCAAAAGAACATAACAATTGGCGACGAAGGTGAAAGATCTACACTCTCAACCTTCACAAGAGCAAATTAGTTTTGGTAGATGCATTAAAAAACTAGTGTAAACATCTTATTTTTGCAGGAGGTATTTTTTGGTCGCAATGAAAAGAGCAATAAGTGCGAATGAATTATTGCTCATTTTGTCGTTCTCTACTGACGAAATATTTTCCAATATTATGATATGAGGTTGTAAGCGGATGAAGAGAAACTACAAGATAAAATGAATTCATATATTCTGCTACGCTCATTTTTTTGTTGTGATCAAACTGTACATATTCCTTAAAATATTTGTGCTTCATTTCTGCATACATTATGAAGTTATGAATCGTGATAGTTTTTAATTCACCATGTATTCAAGTAGTGTCGGGAAATAAGTGATCTATACTGCCTAGCTAACTACTAAGAATGACATTAATCAACTGAATATATATAGCCTTAGTCAATTTTACTAATGAGAAAAATTTTGTAGAAATGTATGATAACTGCCTACCTTCTTTTGTCGCCTTTCCTCACTAATCTTTTGTATTTCTTCCAGTGAAAGAGATAACAATTCCTTGGGAACAGCGGCTGATGATGTATGTTTCTTCGTGGTTCCATTATCAGAGCGATTGTCATATGACGACGATGATGATGAAGAGGACGATGAGTTAGATGATGACCTCCTATGCTTTTTTCTTTTCTTTTTGGAAGAATGGTGGGATGTCTTATGTTCTGAATGGGTTGTTGACTTAGTCGAACTATGAGATTTAGTCTTGCTATGTTTATGATTAGACGACCGACTGACGTAAGACATTTTATCATCGTTACTATCAATGCTAGAACTTCTGCGACGATTTACAGTAACCTTATCGTGTTTGTAATATGAGCTGACTTCCGACTTAATTTTATGACTCATCTCCGACAAACGACCGTGATTTATCTGAAAACAAACACTTGATAAACGAACGGGATAAACAGGGCAAAATGAAAAGAAACTCTGTGCAATATTTCATTATATTTTACTACAACTGTACAAGTACTGAGTCAAGAACGACTAGTTTTTGTGTCTAAAATAGTAATCGATGGCAGTAGAAAATATTGAGAAGCCAGCAGCTCCCAAAAGACCGGCTTGTAAACCAGCTAGTAAAATTTAAATGAGTATCACATATACACAAAATTACCTCGAAAACCTATCCCACCACCGACGATTGCACCTGACAATGTACTATTCAGAAGATCACTCTTGCCACGGTACTAAAAAACCAATATCACAAAGCCATAACATAGCTTACACTCTCAAGAGCACATTCGGTACCAGCGAAAAGTGTCCCAATCATAGCAAAACTCTTGGCATGTGATAATGAACGGGAATACATTTCCTTCATAACTTGACGAGTAGTTGGAATTTCCGCACCATGTACTGTGCTCATTGGGTCCACACTGGCCGAAAACAACCCAAAGATACCGCCCAAAACAAAACCTATATATTTATTTAGTGGTTATTTCAAGTTGAATGAACCTCCAAAGCAGCTTAACAGAGCTTTAAATGGACAACTGTCCATTACCCGGCGCACCATTAATTCTTCATTTGGTGGCAAAGGAAAAGTTAGTAATTTCATGTGAATCAACTTTTCAGGATCAGAAAAGATGTGATTACCAATCGTCCTTTTTAAGGATGATGGATCATCACCATGTAATGCAGCGCTCAGTTCTTTTGAAAAATTAACGTAGCGAATTCGATCCGCATCTGAAAGGTTTAAGTAGTCCTTATAACGCTCAGAGAGAAGTTCTCGTATCGATTTTTCTTCGGCTTGTTGAATTTCTGCTGACATCCTAAGAAGAAAATACGCGAGATCCACACAAGCTGATAACCTTTACATTGATATTTTTACACAGAGAAACTTAAAAATAGAAAACTCAACAAAACATTCAGTTATCTTTGTTGGTGCATATAAAAAACGCTTGTATGTAGCAAAAGACCGGAGGTCAGAGATGATTATTCGCAGATTCAAAGGGTTATCATTGATATCACAGGAAAAAACGTACAATCACTAACATCAAACACAAAGCCCGTGTTTCGAAAGAAGCTAGAGAGAAGTTGGTATAAGCCGATTCTCCATAGAATGAAATTTCACGTTATGATTTCTTAAGAACGCACTTCGGGATGATAAAGTTATATCCCCGTAGTTTTAGCGATGTACTTTTTAATGAACTATTTTAAATCCTATAATCTAAGTTATGAAAATCGGCTTTAACTGTTTTATTTGGATTTACAATTGGCTGGTCTTCAGCGTAGCTTGAGACGCCAAGGTGTATATAACATGGTAATTTATAAAAATTCAGGCCTATCGTTAATGAACTAATAGCATTCCTGAAACATTTGTTGTATGTTAAATCAATTTCAGAGTAAACAAACAACAATGAGGTAAGTCATATTCGGGAAAACACAGGTTCCTAAAAACAACCCAATGTCAATTTCCTACTCAGTTGAACTTATTTTTAATTAACAGTTTACGATAAAGTGACTTGCTAGCAATGTTTATTAATGCCACGATTAATAACAGATGGATTATACTAAGGATGAATCTGGGTGACGTTTTTCCGAAAAAGCGACGTCTGTCAGTGAGTTGGTTTGGAAAGACAGCTATCTCAGTAGCTTAAAGTTTGCATCGTAGACCGTAGTTTAGATCCAGCTTCAACATCTGTATGTTATCACAGGTTTCTACACTAAACACAGCCCAAAGCCGAGTATGTGAAACCTTACTTATTTAGTGTGTTTCAAAAAGTTGAGATGCCTGGTAAGATGATAACTCTATCATAAAACGAAAATTAGCAAACTTATTAACTTCTCTAATGCTTATATGAAAAACATTGCTCGCTAGGATTCTTGCTTTTTATGCTAGATTCCTCAGTTCAATGCTACTAACTCTAAATCATAACCCACGGACACCAACGAAGTCAAAATGTTCGGTAAAGGTATGTCTAGGGGATGCCTTAGATAAAGGAAGATAACTAATCTCTTCCTCTACATAATGAAACGCACTTTCGACAAGTTTCCGGTTGTATTCTACATCATTATTTCGATAGACGCAGTATATATTAAAAGCAGATACGAGAAAACTGGCACAAGGCCTGATGATAATAGCCAATACATAATCTACGGGATATTCAACGTACTTTGAAAAGTTTGAAAATGAACCAAAATGAACAATTTAAAAGGAAACACAGCTTTTTCAGTGCTCATAGCCCCTACATGAAACCAGTTTCATCTATCTTTTCGAGAAACGTAGAAGGGAGATTGTGCGCGACGAGACTATGATTTATAGACGAACCAAACAGACTTACGATTTCCGCGCGGAATTCTTTATCCTTTTGGCTAAATAGCGTCTTGGCACTTAAGCTGGTGTCAGTTCGTGATGTAAACCTTGAATCTAATCTCTATCCATAATCGTCAACCATAAATCACAATCCTTATCCTTCACATAGGTTTAAAATCCTCTTTATCCCTAATCAAAAGGGTGAACATTCTCAAGGCCGCATTAATGTCGTTCAAAAGTTATCCATAAATGGTGGTTTCATCGTAAAGCCTCTGAAAATACAAAGTACTTATTTACTCCAGATATATCCTTGAGAGGTTGCAATGTTCAACTATGGAAAGTTATGCATCCAATACCTTGCATATATCTAAGTTACGCTGGTTACGAAAATTGCGCTTGTTCCAGCGGTAAAGTATTCTCCAATATCTTTGTCACGAGCTTGTAAAAACCAATTGATTTCCTTATACTCGCTTCCTGTTGTTTCAATACCGTTCCATGTATTCGGTAATTTCCAATGGCTGTTAGTTTAGCCACTCGACTGCACTAACGCGCGCTATTTAAAAAGGACAGTGGTATTTTTCCTCGCTGAGTAAATTTCTTTGTTTTGATCGCTTATTACGTATCAAGACTACTGTTTTCACTTTAATTGAATTTATTTCAGTCAAAGTATTCGACTAGAGTATCGTTTTTACTGTTCTCTCAATTAGTTTTGTCGTTGGTACTCTTGAATACCTCTTTTTCAACTGTATCTGTTAGTACTTCTGGTCCTATCAATCTACAGCTCTTCACTTTTTTGGTCATTGATTATTTTTTTGTTTCTGAGTATCATCGCATCTTGAAAAAACTCCTCTAAAATGATTGGACAGTGTAAAAAAATCAGTTGTTAACGTCTGGGTTGTCTTTATCCTGTTGAAAGCGGCATGCAGTGCGACGAGTGCAAAGGCTGGTACCACGAAGTTTGCACAAACTAAACGCCTGCTGCTTTCAAACGGTTCAGAAGGAAGGGTTGTGTATGGCTTTGTCAACAGTGCTGCTCGGATGCGAACAGCTTGCTAACCGAGGCCATTTCACTGGTTGATGCTGCAAAAAAGTGTTTTAGCAAGCATAGTCGGAACGCGTCAAACAGCACTCGATCTGTCGACACGCGAATCAGCGTGAAGGAATCTATGGTTTGTTTGATGATAGGTGACTCACGCCCATCAAAGAAGGAAAGGCAGCCTCCAAAGGGGCCTGCCTTAAACAAAAGCTCAAGAAAAGTAGGGTCTTCTGTTCCCGTCTCCCAGATGGGATCCAATAGGAAACACCTATAAGCCGCAATCGCAAGGCTCGATCGGTTTCAAGCGGTAAACATAACACGACCCCTCAGGTCGTCGACAACCCCCCGAAATCCAACACTATGTTTGACGCAACTGTTATTGCTTCTACCAGCACCGTTGACGAATGGGTACAGGCTGTAAGGAAGAAAAGTAGGGATATAAAAGGGAACCCTGCACCCGTAAAAGTAGCTGAAAAATCGAATGCTGATAATAGCGACAGATCAGCTATTTTTCATAGAATCAAGGAGAGCGAGAGCTCTGAACCTAAAGCTCGTTTTGAGCATGACATTGTACTGATTAGGCAGCTGCTTAATCAACTCATGCCTCAAAATATGACCGGGGTCACCTTGCTAAAGGTGTACAGACTAGGGAGTCTAGCGGACTCGAAACCGAATCATTCCAGACTGTTTAAAGTAGTATTCAGCTCTTAGAACGATCGTGACCTAATTTTACAGAATGGTCACAAATTAAAGGGTTCAGGAGTCATTATACGAAAGGACCTACCGTTGGCAGACCGTGTTAAAAGACGGGAAACCGAGAAAGAACTACAACTTAGGTTAGACGCTGGTGAAAAGGACCTGAAAATTGTAAATTTTTGGGTTGTAAGACTTCGACAGAGAATGATGCCGAAGCCACTCTGGGTGAAGCACGAAGGCACTTAAACAGGCTTCGTAACTGTTACACCAATGCACGAAGATTACTTAATAAGCGATCGGAACTAGGTGTACAGATTGACTCTACAAGGCCAGACATAATCGCAGTGACAGAAACCTGGCTGACACGGGCTATAGATAGTATGGAACTTGATTTCGAGGGTTTTACGTTAGTAAGGGCCGATAGAACACAAAAGCGCAAAGGAGGGGGAGTAGCTCTATTTATTAGGGATGTTATCCCATTTGCCATTATCGATAGTGTATCCCATGAGAGTGGGACGTGTGAATTAGTTAGTCTTCGCTTAAAATGCAAGGGACAAGAGCTGCTGATTGGTTTGGTCTATCGCAGTCTAAGCTGTGAGGCAAATGAGATCCTGTTAAGCAGTCTCAATACTTGGTCCCAAAGTGGTCGATGTCTAATTCTAGGGGACTTCAGTGCACCTATGGTAGACTAGGAAAATCTGCGAACTAAACCGTCGGAGAATTCCTTCGAGCAAGAACTAGTTGATGGGGTTATCACATGTACCCTAGCGCAATATGTGAAAGAAGCGACAAGGTACGATCCGGACACTGAATCATCCTTATTAGATCTTATACTGGCTCACTATGAGGATGATGTTGCGAACCTCCATCATATGCCACCCCTAGGTAAAAGTGATCATGCAGTTTTAACTTTCGACTTCCATATAACTGCCATTCACGAGCACGCGTCAGTCCAGTCCAGACCCAACGTCTGGAAAGCAAACATACCAGACATCATGCATTCAGCATCGTTAATAGATTGGACAATAGACCCAGAGTCCTCAATTGAAACGACCTGGGACGCATTTCGAAATTCATACTTAAAAGTTACCACACCTCACATCCCTTGGACTATACCAAAGGGGCCGAAAAACTCACCACCATGGTTCAGTAGGGAGGTCCGTATCCTTCTCCGTTAGAAAAGGAAAATGTGGGATAGATTTAGGGTTACTGGGGACTGATGAGTCAAAATCTCAGTATCGAAAGGCTTAGAATACTTGTGCCCCGACCCTCCGTAAGTCTAGAAAATTGTACAAAGGAAAACTTGTTAAGGAATCCATAGAATGTCCTAAACGCTTGTATTCCTATATAAACCAAAGGACAAGGAGAAAAGGAAATATTCCTGCTCTATGGGGAGACAGTACTGCTTCATTATTAGTAGAGGACGACTTTGGTAGGGCTCAAGTGTTCTCGAACTACTTTAGCAAAGTATATACCATAGAAGCGCCCTTCACGTCAGCGCATACAGACCCCCCCCATACATACACTGGATAGCGTGACCATTAAAGAACTCGATATCTTTGGTCTGTTAAATAAGCTTGACATAAGTAAATCCTCGGGGCCCGATGAATTACATCCTAGGCCACTGAAGGAATTATCTAACTTCGTTGCAAGCCCTTTAAGTACATGCTTTAACTTATCCGTTACGCAGGGTCGTTTACCAAAAGACTGGAAAAACGCCATAGTAAGTCCTGTCTTCAACACAGGTACGAAACACAAACCTGAGAACTACCGCCCCGTTAGCCTAACTAGTGTGGTTGTTAAAATCTTAGAACAGATTATTCGGAAGGAGCTGTTTAAGTATCTCGATAAAAACCGGATCCTCTCGGAGAAGCAGCACGGCTTCAGAATAGGTTACTCTTGTCTCACTAACTTATTAGTGGCTCGTGAAAGCTGGTGCGCTCTTAAGGACCAAAAGCTACCTGTAGACGTCGCCTTCATTGATTTCAGTAAAGCTTTTAACAAAGTTCCGCACAACCGGCTGTTATATAAGTTAAGAAAAGTCGGGATTGGAGGCAATTTATTGATGTGGATAGAAGACTTCTTAGTTGGGCGTCAACAAAGAGTAAGCGTGAACTCAAAATTATCTAGCTGGGAAACTGTGCTTAGTGGAGTGCCCCAGGGTACAGTTTTGGGGCCAGTGCTATTCCTCTTGTATGTAAATGACCTTCCTTGTTTCCTATCATCATCGGTCTTGCTATATGCTGACGATGTCAAGATATGGAGAACGATACGATGTAAGAGTGATAGCTTAGAACTTCAAAATGACCTGAAGAAGTTATCTGAATGGTCTCAAACATGGCAGTTGCCGATAAATACTTCCAAGTGTGTTGTGATGCATATCGGTCATCAAGGCACAGATACATACACGATGAATAACACTGAGCTGCCTGTCGTCCAGACATATAATGACTTGGGAGTTATCGTTAGTCAAGACTTAAAGACTACTGCACACTGCCGTGCAATAGCCGCCAAAGGTTTTAGAACCTTATGGTCAATACGTGGAGCTTTTAGTCATGTCGACGCTAAAACGTTTTTGACTTTGTATACAGTGTTCGTTCGTTCTAAACTTGAGTACAGCATACAATCGGCCAGCACCTGCTTGAAAGAAGACAGTGAGTTTCTGGAAAAAGTTCAGAGAACGGCGACTAAGCTGATTCCCAGAATAGCGAAGCTTCCGTATGAATCTCGACTGGCCAAGCTGAACCTTTTCCCGTTGTCATATCGCAGAACTAGAGGCGACTTGATTACAGTCTACAAATTGCTTAGTGATAAATTTGCACCTGATATGCCCTCATTTTTCTTGTCTTCCAAAACAGAGAATTTACGAGGACACTCCAAAAAAGTTCATAAGCCGAGAACAAATTACTTGTCAGATGACTATCGACTTTCCCATTGAATCATCAACGAGTGGAATTCACTACGTGGTTGAGGCTCCATCTGTCGACGCTTTCAAAAGAAAGTTGGATCAACTGAGAGACCACCATTGCCAGGACTAACATAGGCCATCAAGCCTCCTGTCCTTTCCAAACTGAAACCGAAACTGGATTATAATCAGTCTGATAGTCATTTGTAGATGCTTTTATTTTCTATTTTGAGTGAGTGCATTGGTTTCAGAGTAACTTGAACTCTGAATACCACCAGCTATCATATCAACAGGCAGGAGGTTGTCCTGACGAAATTTGAAAATTAAGAAGTTAATTATTATTTTGTATGAAGACAAATAATAAGACAATTACAGTGATAGAAAGTGGTCACTGATATTCGGTGGTGATAACCGTGGTGATTTATGAAACATATATCGAACACAGCTGGTCCATGAGGGAGATGGTAACTCACCGGTGGGCAAGTATTTGTTAAATCTTCTTTTAAAGGTGGCTGTGTACACTCCGGCTGGGAAAGCATTCTAAATGGAGGCAACTACTGATGGGAAAAAATGAGAGTGTACCTGGGTTTTTGCCCTTTGACATGCACTTTTGGAGGGGGGTTGCCTCGTGGAAAGTAGTGAAGATATTCTTGTAGAATACTCGTGTTGAGATGACTTGTAGTATATATGCTGTTATCAAATGGCTACTTATTCTCTTATAGCTCAACGAAAATAATCCCAGGTGTTGGAGTCGGTCCTCGTAAGATTTGTTTTAGACCGGCCACCCATTTAGTTCCCTGTCTCTATATTCGGTCGAAGAAATTAATGTCTCTTGAAGAAGGAAAGGTGCAAAAAAATTGTGGACCTCAAGGTAGAGCCGTATGTTTTGAAGAGTGTCAACAACAACTCTGGGATGACTGTGTCGAGTTGTCTTCAGTCAGAGCGAAGAGTCACGTTTACATTGCCTTCATCCTCTGCATAGTTTTAACTTGTGTCCAAGTTCTCTGTGGTTACTGGCCCGTGGTCACACTCTGAGGAGACAATCGGGGTCGGATTTCCATGCTGTATACAAGTTCTTTGTTTCGAATAGGCCAGAATGTTTATGATATGATATTTCTATAGGTCAATTTTTAACCCAGTGTTTGTTTCCCACTCTTTTATTGTTGTAAGGTCAGTCACAGCATCCTCAACAGTAGCAGTTAATACACAGTGGAATTTTTAAGTTGTTTTAAAGCTCAAATGAATCCTTTTTGCTTTTTATAAATCTCCGGATCTATGTGTCATTTCCACAGATCAGTTCAACCAAGCTAACTTTATGTAATGGGTCGTCCATAAGGATAAGAAACAAAAGTGAACCTAAGATTGTTTATTATGAAGCTGTAATATCTAAAATCATGTCAGGCCCATGTGGGTTATTCTAACTTCTGGATAGTCTGCTTTATCTATTCTTCCCAAGACACATTTTGATCTTGTCAATTACTCACGTATTAACCCTGATCATTTTGATGTAATCTTATGTGCGCTAATTGCTCACCCTATTCATTATGTGTTTGCAGTTTATTTTTGTTTGAATATACACGCTGAGTCACGCTTTACCAAAACGGGCTGTCTCAGTCGTCTTCTCCGCTGCGGGTCAAATTGTTTCGTTTCTCAGATTATCCGCCCAGATCAGTGTGTGTATGACATACACATATTCAAACCATATTCTCGTATTTAGCTTATTTCATTCCGTTATTCTCTAACAACAGTTAAGTTGGTAAATGTGCATGAGGGTTGGCAGCATGCATATTTCGATTACAAACAGCATACGGTCTAACAGGAGTCAGATATTGGGCCACCAATGTTCTACAAACCTAACGCAACCTGTAAAACTACGCATGCGATGAACATCTCGAACTCTGTGCATCCAGTAAACAAACTAAATGGCTTAACTAATCAACGAGCAACCCAAACGACTCAATCACTGATCCGATGCGTAACATTTTCCTGCTTAACGTTAGTTTGTCCCATTTTTCGTATGATCTTAGCTCCATTATTGCACCCATTCACGTAGTTGAGATTATTGTTGCGTTATCGTGCCACAGATTTTTCATTTTTACATCGTCTTCTATCATGTCTAAGGATGCCTTTGACTACTGTGTGGTTAGTAATGACTACGTTCATCCTATTTGTTCGTTCACACGTATAACTGCGTGCTGCATTGTTTATTACCCAAAAACAGTAGTTGATAACTGCAGTTATTATTCTATTCTCGTCGCATTATTTATCAGAACATAGTTTAGAGCTGGTTTCTCAAGGGCACACTCCTGTTCGCCACATAAAAGTCAGCTTCACTCTCCCATTGTGCATAATCATATGTATTGGCGATCTTATTATGCCTTAGTATGGTTACATAAAAAACGAGGTCGGGCGCATCTCCATCAAACGAAATAAACCACGCTAGGCTTTACGACCTAACAGGAATACGACTCTGTATATCTCGTCTCTACAGTCACTACTCTGTTCCTCTGGTCATTCTACTAATACATGTTCAACGATAACTTGATGCATCTGGTTATAACCCGAATGACAACGTATACTGACTTCGCACTTTATGATTATTATCAACTGCAGTATAGCAATGAATATCATTCATCGAGGCAGTTAATATTTTACAGCTTGACTGATCTTATCCTACAGGCAGAAACTCTATCCCATGTAAGTAACAATCCATTATTGGCTGACAGACGTTATTTACTCTAATGCGGCTTATTAGGACATGTTCATATTTCTTTATTCTTTGCCTAAATATTGTGCCAGCACCACAGACCAATTTCTGTTATATTCTACACTACATATCTTCACTGTTTACTTAGCTGCCATATCCGTAAACGATAAACTACTCAATACTGTTTTCAAGTGACAGTGTACTCAATCAGATATGGTACAAGTTTACTTCGCTACTTATTGTTAACGTCAACCACATACCTCTTTAGTGTTCTTCTCATAAACAGACATTTTTTCGAAATTAATGTTCTATTCTAAATATTGAGACACACATTACCAAACCGAGCTGTTTCAGTTGTTCTTTCTGCTACACATCACATCATTCTAAATATGGGGCGCCAAAGATTTCCTGGTGTTCATACCCTTGAACTAGTGTGCACTATATTGACCTCTATGCGTACCACCGTGTTCTCTAGATAGTTTCAAAGCCAGAATAAAATTGAGTCAGCAAAGCTCATCTTTAAAACCTTCGTCAGGAGAGATACATGAGGTACTGTGTCAAAGGCTTTTATTAAATCGAATAACAATGTATAAATGGGTCTCTTACTGTCCCAGTAGGTTTGTGGAATTATGTTCTAGTTTCTTATCAGTACTACTATAACAATAGACCTAATCCTAAAATTTTAGATTCTTCATGATGTTACTGCCAAATCTATAAGATCTTACGTGGAAGTATATAATTGTCTATTCTGACTCGTCGCATCATAACAACATCCCAACAAGCACAGATTAGCTCAGGCCCTCCGTGAACCACCACACTGGTTGATTCTTGGGTGTTTACTTATCTTCTGGCGGCATCTCTTACAGGTCACACTTTTTCGAGTCGTACTTAGATTTGACCAGATAGCTCAGCCTATGACCTCTGGGGTGTCAGTAAACTTTCTGTGACGAGTGTTGAATATAAAGTTGCGCTCAATGGAAGGGATTTGCAGCCCGCCATATTTCGGCTCTGATACAGGTGGCATGATCTGGGTAGGGTGGTACCATTTCTCAGAATTGTTCAGTATTTATCCGAATGTCTTTATCAAAGGCTGCCCTGCTTTCTGATAAGTTACTGTTGGACACTGGAACATCAGGTAAAATCAGGGACTTTTGCCTAACGTCTTTGTATTGTATTTCTAATCTTATATCCAATATCTTCTCATTTCCTTCGAGACAACTGAACATAAACGAAATTATTTATTTGTGCTAGGGGACTGTTTTCGGCCCTACCAAATCAAAGAGGATCTCTGACGATTGGGTTTGACCTCTTGGGTAATTCTGTTGATTGGCCAAGCAGAATTCCCCTTCTTTAAAGACCCAGTGGGAAAACAAAAATCTGATGGGTGGTCTAACCTTTGCATTTATGACTCAAAAATTTACATAAAAAAGTGCATGAATTACGGGACCAAAAAGCATCAGAAATCAGAAATTACGATGTGTGCCGCAGTAGGTTACTCAGGATGCAAAAGTGAAATGCTAGGCTTGTGATCAATCTATAATAAGTAACGAACGGGAGAAAGTGTAAGGAAAATTGATAAATCATACGAAAATTTGAAATCCGGCGAATGTAAAAATTGCGTGAAATAAGCTTTATTAATTACATATTAAGAAATCGGATTACAGACATCCTAAAAATAGCACCCATATTTTCTTAGCTCTTCTTATCCTCCTCGTCACAACGAATAGGCATCTTAAAGATGAAGGTAAGACAGGAACTCAATATATGTGATACCATTTAAGCGCTGCTAGATATTTAAGATAACCATAAGAAATAAATTAATGTTAGCAGGCAAACAAGATTATTAGAATACATATGAAATAAATTAGAACGGTATTTTCAAAAACAAAAAAGCATGCATATATACAACACGAATGGAAAGAAGTTCCTGAGTAAACAGACCAAAACTAAGGTAACGAAACTAATTCCCAGTGAAAAATCTATAATGACGAAATTAAGGCAATAAGACAATGTTATTAAAGCATTATCAGACACGGAATTTAAAGAATAAGATACAATCATGAATAAAGTACATGAATTTTATCCTACGTTTTTCACTTTCCAATATTGCTCACTAACTACTGAATCTAGATATCGTATTTACTACCACACTTCCAACTTTAGTCATTCATTTTACTACACGACCGTTGTATCCTCACTTAGTGGTTTCAAAGCAAAGTTCGAAAACGACATAACCATTATTTTGATTAGAGATCGTCTGTTCGAGTAATCATAAAAAGGAAACAAGTTTTAGTTTAAATTCACTTACTATTATTTACTTGAATTTTCCCATTGATGCTTAGGACTGAAATTGATCAGTTTCTTATTGGCATATGTGCATACTGTGTGGATTGCCTCGATATTGCCTTAGGTCACAAGCATTATAAGCAAAGATGGATGGTGGCTAGCAGTGGAATGCAAGATGTGCATTTTGTTCTATTTGGGACTCGTCAGTTAGATGTACCTACATCTCAGAGTTGATGTTCACTTTGGTACTCGAATCCAGTACCGTTCGCTTCAAACACCATCGCGTTATCCATTTGCTTACTGAGTTCATCTTTGCTCATAATACTTGTAAATCGAGGCAATATCAAGCCAATCCGCACAGTATGCACATATGCCAATAACAGACTGATCAATCACAGTCCTAAACAACAGTGAGAAGACGGTAAACAACATCAAGCGAATTTAACATTTTAGCTTAATTTATTAACCTACTCATAAGTAGATAAAGCTGTTAACAAGTATTTCTCATTAATTAGCTTCATTAAATTCAATTGAAATAAATTTCTAATGAAACATGAAATGAATAAACTTTTACATAAAAAAATATCATATTTACTATGAATTTTTTTTCATCTTATTTAAAAATAAAACAAACATTCATATGAAAATCAAATGAAAACAGAGAATGGAAGTTATTAAATGCCAAGTTCAATTTGATTCAAATAAACTAATCATCATAATTGTTGAAGTGGATAAATCAAGAGTATGAACACTTTACAGTTGGATTATTTATACATCTGTGTGTATGTGTGTTTATGTATGCAGTTTCTTTCTTTCCTTCTTTCTTTCTCTCCTTTTTTCTTTCTTTTTTTTCTATGTATTACAAATAATATTAATCATATTATCTTTTAATTTTAAAAATATGTAAATGATTAAATGAGCAATGTATGAGTTGCGTGACTCTTTACCTTAATTATTATTTGTTTTTATCATTTATATCAATGGTATATAAGAAAATGGAATGAAAGATGTGTTTTTCGTACTTCCATAAACAAAAACAAAAACAAAAAAAGATATTACATCATCAAAAATTATCAAAGAGTTAATACAGTTAACATCTGGTGTTTTCAAGAAGAAGAAGAAGGAGAGAAGAGAAAGGAGAAGGAGAAGAAGAAGAGAAAGGAGAAGAAGAAGAAACAAGTTTTTAAAAGGATTACTGCCTTCGGCATCATAGTCATCATTGATGTATCTTTTCTTCTTCTTTTTTCTTTTATAGCATTATAGAAAATAATTATGACTTATTTATGGTTAGAATGAGATAATTTTCTTTAATTTTAAATAATCAACAAATATAAGTGTAGAATTACAAATAAATGAATAAATAAAGATTATTAAATTGTTCAATGGTGTTTAATTTTATTCAATGAAAACAATCTGTTACACTTCATTAAGCATGAAAATGATTTCAAGTAATATTGTAATCATTATTATTATTATCATATTAAAAAGGGGTGTAGAAAAGAAAGGGGTATTATTAAATTAAACTCTTCTAGTATAGATGATATCATTATATACTAGAATATACATATCTTAGTCTGGGTAAACATCTTAAAGCAACACAATAAATGATACAAACTAGAAACTGAACTGAAATAGATTCTTTTTTTAAGTATAGAACTAAAGATTATTGTTATCATCATAGAAAGATTCATTTTATAAAAGTAATTAATCATCTGCTCACTAGTGACTGACTTCAAGAGATACTCCTGGAGTTTTAGTGAGATATCAACTCACTGAAGACAATGGTGTACGGTGGCGCAACTTTGTGGATTAGTTGAAGTTAGACATTAACACCATTGGATGCCGGCTCAGTGGTCTAGTTAGTTAAGCGCCTGGCGAGAGACTGATGGGTCCTGGGTTCGGATCTTGCGGGGTGGGGAATCGTGGATGTGCACGTCTGAGGAGTCCCATACTAGGACAAAACGGCCGTTCAGTGCTTCCAGATTTTCCATGGTGATCTAGCTTCAATTGACTCATGATTTCAATCTGTGAAATTTCTATAATCTCCGCAAACCCCTGCTGATAAAAGTAATTATTATCATGAATTAATATCAATGTAATTTGTTTTGTTGTCATTTAAAATTGTTTATCAGATATATTGGTGAGATTACACAGAATCTTACCCCATACATTAGTCCTATGTGAAAATAATCCCTATGATAGACAAAATTCACGCTTACTAATCTCCTCTGAGACACATTATAAATCTTGAAAAATGAGCTGATCAAATTAAATTATATGATCAAATTAACATGGAGGAATGTACAAGTTAGGAGTAAACAATAAACATTTTTGTAATACTGATTTTCAAATCATGTTTTTATTCGTATGAAAACTTATATCAACATTAATGAACCCTAATCAAAACGGCGAAATTATTTATAATCAGTTTATAGTATACATATATATATCAGTCAGTCAGTCAGTAAAAACGTAGAACTTCGTACGTATGTACATCAGTTCGAGTTGCCTTACCACATTAGCACAGAGATGCATTTGTCGATTCAAATCCCGTAGTGGTAGAGGTAGCAAGAGTATAAGCAGTAATCGGAAAGATTAGGGTTTGAATATGTTATTCAAGGAGTATAATACAGTGAAATAGATTTAGAAAGGGAAAAAAAGAGACAAGGAGAATTCAGGAGATTAGAATTTGGGAGAACACAAAGAGTAGATGCACTTGAGCCATTGCAAAAGATTTTGAGCCATGTCATTCAAGGTCTCTAACCATCGGTTACTATCGTCTCGCGGATCCCAACCAGGTAGTCTACACCTACTAACATGGCTCAGTCCACTTGTTAGTGACTTCATGGATCTTTCATCCAACCTACTTCTACACCATAAAACATCGCACGTTGGGGTGGTCGGTGGTTTGGTATACGCAACACGTGTCCCAGCCATCTCAATTGAGGAAGTAGTGAAACTTCATCGATTGATTTGCCATCCTTACCTAGTACCAGTTTCCTAA